CCGTTTCAAATTTATATTAAAATATTCATACAAATTTCATGAACTCTATGCTATCTTCTTTCTGCCAGTAAAACAATCATCTAGTTTACTAGACTGGGTTGAATATATCGATAAATAAAAAACAAAGAAAAAGCATCCATCAAAACTTTACTCCCTAATTCAAATTTGGGAAAAGATAACATTCACCATCCAGAGTGCCTTTTAGAAGATTCTTGGGTCACAGATAACACAGGACATTTTTTCTGCATACATACATGCATATTTTTTCATGGCAATGAGCATAGAAGTAACTTCTTATAAACCATGGAGCTTGTTATTGTTTTGAAGCATGTGGTGTAAGAGGTATTCACAATTGGCTTGCAAAGGTCCCTCAGAGCCTCCTCAAGCAGTGAAGAAATGCATTGCAGGAGAATCTATATCAGGTTTTCTATGGCTGCTTCCTCTATTGATGTCAAACCCAAAGACAGGGAAAATCATTGTGTGCACATTCCTCGTGTGTGGCGCTTTATTTGGGCCTCTCTCATGCAACGCACCAAGTTTGGTTGTGGTTTCATTCTGCCTTCACATCTGTGAACTCAACCGCTGTGATTTATAAACCATGATCTAGGGTTTGTTATTTTTTGAAGCACAGAGTGCAAAAATGGTGTCGTCTCCTTTTGCTATAGTGATAGGAAAAATTTCCCCGTGTTTTGGCTGGCCTTGGTTCAATAGATATGTCATTTCAACAGAATAATCCCAAAGGTGCTTTTTCAAATGGTAACTGGAACATTAGAGGTTTTTAAGAAGAGGTTGGACAACTATTTGTCTGAAATGGTATAGGGTTTCTTGCTTGAGCAGGGGGTTGGACTAGAAGACCTTCAAGGTCTCTTCCAACTCTGTTATTCTGTTACACACAGAGACACACTGACAAACTTATTATTTTCCAAAATAATCAGAATAGAGAATAGAGCTGAAAGGGACCTAGTATTGTGTTTTCCCGAAAGTAAGACCTACCCCCAAAATAAGCCCTAGTTTGGGGGGCAAGGGACACACCTAAAAAATCAAGCTAGGGCAGGGGTGCAGGGGGTGGAGCTGCCCCACGCACCCCACACCTGCTTACCTTACCAGTAGGACCACCACAGCCAGACCTCCCATGCCCCAACACCAGTCTTGCCGCTTCCCGAGTTCTTCTCTGGCCACTTACGGCTGCGTGGCTTGTAACGTGGCAGGAGGCTCCACAGCGCTTTAGGATGGTGCCACTCACACCAGCCTGAAGCACCATGTGGCCTCCTGCCGTGAGCAGTGGCACCATCCCAAAGCACCATGCGGCCTCCTGCCATCAGCAGCGGCACCACCGCTATGTGCCACGTGATGTCTGGCCACAAGCAGCAGCAAGCAGCCACTAAAGAAGTCAAGCAGCGATGTGACAGGTATCGGGGTGTTGAAGGCCTGGCTGCGGCAGTCCTAAAGTAAGACATCCCCTGAAAATAAGACCTAGTGCCTCTTTTGGAGGCAAAAAATATATGAGACTGGGTCTTATTTTTTGGGAAAACATGGTAGGTTTTCTAGTCCAACCCCTGCTCAGGAGACCCTATATCATTTCAGATAGCTGATTAGCCAGTCTCTTCTTAAAAACCTCCAGTGATGAAGGACCTACAACCTCTGAAGGCAAACGGTTCCACTGGTTAGAATTTTCTCCTTAATTCCAGGTTGCCTCTCTCCTTGATTAGTTTCTATCCATTGTTTCTTTTCTTGCCTTCCGGTACTTTGGAAATTAAGTCGACCCCTCTTCTTTGTGGCATTCCCTCAAATAATGGAATATTGCTATCATGTCACCCATAATCCTTTTCGCTAGATTGGCCTACTCAATTCTTGCAACTGTTCTTCATGTTTTTGTCTCCAAGCCTTTAATCATCTCAGTTGCTCTTCTCTGCATTTTTTTTTTCAAAGTCTCAACATCCTTTTTGTAATGTGGTGACCAGAACTGGATGCAATATTCCAGGTGTGGCCTTACTCAGGATTTATAAAGCAATACTAATACTTCACGTGATTTTGATTCTATGCCTCTGTTTATACAATCAAGGACTGTATCAGCTTTTTTGGCTGTAGCCACACACTGCAAGCTCAATAGAGTAAGAATAGTATATCAAACACTCTGTAGTATATCAACAACTTATAAAAATGAAATATATAGGTTGTATTTTAAAGGAATCCATCTTTAAAGAAGCCACAGTCATTTTTGTTTACCATTTTACTCTATTTTACTCTATTTCAAATGGTTGAAAAGCTTTTCTCCCTAAATGTGAAAAAGTTGATTCCCATAACATTAAATGTGAGTTGTGGTGCAAGCAGTTTAAGTTGGATCCCAGGTTTTCTCATTCTGATCCAAGGAGTGACAGCAGATGTAAATTCTATCAAGAATGCAGAATTCATTAAAGATTTAATTGTAAATCAGATTCTTTGGCCTTAATGGATATAAGTCATTTTTTCTGCCCCTTTAATTTGACTTTCTCTACTTAAGCATTAGATCTGAAGCCAGTTTTGTGAAGCTTCTTGAGGAACTCTATTTGCTTTTAGGATGACACCTTCACATAGAATCCAAAACCTGTCACCATGAAATGAAATCCATGCTGATTCAGTGACCTCATTAATTTTTGTAAGTAGATATAAATGCCAGCCTTTCTTTTTCTAGAAATCAGAATCAAACATTTTCTACCATGCTGGATACGGAACTAGAGGCAGAACAAATTATTGTGTACATACTCCAAAATTTCTCTGTGGTCCAGGAAGGGAATGATGAGAAGACTAATCTGTCAAAGCAAAGTGCTTCCCATTGATCTCAGATAAAATCTCTTTTTATATTATTTATTTCTTATATTGGTGTGCTGTTCCATTCCCATGCATTGAGAAGTTGCCAATGTTGTTAGGTTATTCTGAATTCCAGAATAAGATAAACATATACAGTCCATGAAATATATGAATTTAAATTTAAATTTAAATTTAAATGTGGGTCTATACATATTTGTTCATAGTATGTTTATATGTGTGTCATGTATGTGTTTAGAGCGGGAAACTAAATTTCATTTTTGATGTGTGCCATTGTGCCCACAGTATAAAAATGACAATAAAGGTTATCTTATCTTATCTTAAAAAGTCCATATACAAAAATGCAGACACATTGCCATAGCTAAAATGCAAATCCACTGAAAATGAATTACTGTTCTATGGCCATACGTTGAGAAGTTAGTAATGTCATTAGAATGTTCTGAACACCAAAATAAGAAAAAACATATAAATGAAATAAAAAAATACATATTCCACATATAAAAAGGCAAAGAAAGTACCAGACCTACAAATACGAATCCAATTTCCTATATACTATCCAAGCATAAACTAGTTTTCCATCGATTTCTACAACCCTAAAATGAAGCTTGCTAAATGCAGATTGGTGTAAACATTGTTCTTCTCAATGTGGAAATGAGTTCCTTAGACAGTCCTTTAAGACGTCCTTGACCTTCTGATTCCTCAGAGTGTAAATAAAAGGATTCAATAATGGAGTAATAACTGCAGTGACAAGTGCAACTGATTTTTGCACACCCTGCGAACGTCCTTTGGTAGGAAAGGAGTACATGAAGATGGAACTGCCATAGAATATAGTAGCTACTGTAATGTGGGAAGCACAGGTGGAAAAGGTCTTCTTCTGGCCCTTGGTGGAATGCATCCGTAGGACGGTGGAAATAATGTAGAGGTAGGAGACCCCGTTGACAAATAAGGAGGTGAGCAGCACCATTAAGGAGAAAGCTATCTCAAAATCCAAAAGAAAATGGATATTTTTGCTGCAAGAAAGCTTTATAATTGGGGCGTAGTCACAGAAATAATGATCAAGGAGGTTAGAGCCACAGAAAGACAGACTGAGAAGGAAGAGCAGTGGAACGAGAAGGAGAAGGAATCCCCCAGTCCAGCAGCCCAGAGCCAAGAAGACACAGAGATGTTTGCTCATGATGATGGCATAGCGGAGTGGGTAGCAGATAGCAACATAGCGATCAAAGGCCATCACAGCAATAAGAATGCACTCACAGGTACCCAAGGAGAAGTAGAAATAGCATTGGGCAATACATCCCCCAAAAGAAATAGCTTTGTTCAAAGAAATCAGGCTGACGAGCATCTTTGGGCAGATGGTCAAGACAAAGAAAGTCTCCAGAAGAGACAAGTTGAAGAGGAAGAAGTACATGGGGGTTTGGAGGCATTGGTCCATGCATACCAGTGTGATGATGGTGAAATTCCCAGTTAATGTGAGCAGAAAAATCAACAGGAACATCCAAAACAAGAAGCATTCCAAAGTTCTGGAAAGTTGGAAGCCAACTAAGATGAACTCAGTCACCTCTGTGATGTTGGGAGAGTTCAGTTCCATGTCCAATAGAAGTCTGAAGGGTCTTGCCGCATGAATTCTTAGAATTTCAACACACCCTGAAACTTCAGAACAGATTATCAGAATGACAGATTGTTTCAGCATATAAACTTGTAATTGTCCACATTCAGAATATGAAGGATATCCATTTCTGTGCTGTTTCTGGATTCTGTCTTGACGTGCTTTTCAATAGGATCACACATCCCAATAAATTATATTGTTTAAAAACAACAGTCCAAAATGCATACAGTAGCTAGTGCATCATCCCTTACCCATATTTTACCCCAAAAAAGCTATTTTCTTAAGAAATCCACATTACCAGTGCATTCTTTCTTTTGTTAGATATTTGTCCTTATTTTTCAAGACTAAGGATTCCTACATATCATGGTGTTAAAGTCCACCATCCCAGAATAGACATTGATTTTTATACATTGCTTCAAACATGCACTGTTTTTAAGTTATTTATCTAGCCGAAAGTGTTGATGACAGTAGTTTTCATTCATTTTTATCGTTTGTGTCCTCATTTGCAGCCACCTCAATTCTGATGATCTTCTCAGTGAAATCTCAAGAACAGGGAGAAAATGAGACCAACTTTTTTCATCTTTGGTTGTAGATTTGTGTCACATCTGTTGACTGCATTGTTTGGATATCCTGNTGCTGTTATGAAGCTGAACATACGCACTGCAAGCTACGAAAATCAGTCCTAATATCATTAAAGTTTGATGTCACCAGAAAGAATAAATTTACTTACAAACTTTACTCTCTGGGGAACCTATTAACAAATGTCTCCAAGGACGTATCTCAACTTATACTTTTTAAATGCTGATTTATTTAACTGATTGTTAAAGAGGGATGTTGCTGCCTTGGAATTAATCATATGCTAAGTTTATTTCTGGGGAAAAGTGTCACAGGATGGAGGAAAATAAAAACATATCCTATGTGTAGGCACAGCCATCAGAATTCCAGTCTAAAAAAGACTGAATTGGAAGTGACTACGTGAGATCTTCCTGCTGAAAGTTTGGGGTGTGGAGATGAAAATAGAAGCCACTACTTCTTTTCTTCTTCCAAATGCAAGCTAGACCTCTCACTGATGATCATCCCAAAGTTTCATTCTTGGGGCCACTAGTTTCTCCCAGTTCATGTACACCTTATGAGAAGGATTCTTGTGATGCTTTCAGATACAGTATGTATTGTGCAATTGTCTATGCATGATTCAGAGGTAGCAACAGGAAGCCCCCAGGAGTTATGATCAGTCTGGTGACCTTTTCCTCCCATCACTTATATCAGGTATGGCCAATAGGAAATCATAGGAAGAGCTATAAGGTCTGAGGACCTTAAACTGGGAAAAGGACAATTCTAGTTCACATTTGTCCTCAACGGCTTCTAACACTACCTCTCAGTGGTATTATAAGCAGCACAGCCTCACTATCCATGATAATACAGAAATCTATAACTTCCAATATGCTATGTGAAGTAGCACAGATGATGAGAGTCATTCATAGAACCTCGGCAATTATGTTTTCATGGTTAAATTGATTTATAATATAGAATTTCACTTTCAGAGAACCAATTGGGTTCTTCCTTCCAGAAGACATAGACTTCAGTAAATGCATGCCTGAAGAAAAGCCTTAGATGAAGGCATAATTCTGCCTGTCAATCAAGAAGGTATAACTGACAGCACAAAGGAGAAAGATGCAAAACTCCATTGATAGAAGATAGTACAGGAGGGAATGGTTATTTTCACATCAATGTCACCCAAGAGATTTTATCTTATTATTGCAAGTTCTGCATGACTTAAAAGAAATGTCTTTTATGGTCAGTGTGTTTTACCTGTACCAATAGAAGAACTGAAAGCCACTTATGGTAAGTTAAAAGAGTTCCTACATGGTTCTCTCAATGTTCCCCTAGTGTGCTTTTGAGCTCCGCATATTTTGTTGAATATACTTACTTAAAGAATACTTTACTTGGTCAAGTGTGATTTATCTCTGGTGTAGAAGCTCTCAGTGTTTAATGGAATAGAATGGAGTGGAGTGGAGTGGAGTGGAGTGGAGTGGAATGGAATGGAATAGAAGAGAAGAGGAGAGGAGAGAAGAGAAGAGAAGAGTTGGAAGGGACCTTGGAGGTCTTCTAGTCCAACCCCCTGCTCAGGCAGGAAACCCTATACCATTTCAGACAAATGTTTGTCCAATCTCTTCTTAAAAACTTTCAGTGTTGGGGCATTCACAACTTCTGGAGGCAGATTGTTCCACTGTTTAATTATTTTAACTGTCAGGAAGTTTCTCCTTAGTTCTAGGTTGCTTCTCTCGTTGATTAATTTCCATCCATTGCCCCTTGTCCTGTCCTCAGGTGTTTTGGAGAATAACTTGACCTTTTCTACTTTGTGGCAAGAGGTTTATATACAGTACTGTATCTTTATGTCCTTATATAAAAAGAAGTATCTTCATATACTTCTCTATAAAGGCATTCATGCTAGAGTTTTAATATTATAGACAGTCTTTGATCATGAAATATGGGAAAGAATAATTTGAGTGAATATCACATAATAGCAGCAATGCCCCCTTCCTCCATAAAAACAAGTTCTTGTTTTATTAAAAACCACACATTCAGTGACTGAAAACAATGATCCAACCAAAATATCTTCTTTTGCAGAGTTATATTTTGAAGAAAAGTTGACCATCAGTTCTCAGTTTCTGCTCCTTGAGAGAAGTCATTTCAATGGTGGTACATTTCTATCAGAAGAGGAATGAAGGAGTAGAACCCAATCTCTTGACTTCAGGAGACTGTTTTTTTTTGTGTGTGTGAGAGAGAGAGGTCTCCAGTTTTGAACTGGGGACTTAAGAGAAGAAGGCAATATATATATTTTCTAACGGCACCAATCTGCAGTGGATTTTTTTCTTTTTTTTATTTTTCTCCACCAGCAAATTCGCAATGAGAACTAGGGCTCAGAATAGCACAACACAAGTGACAGAATTCATCTTAATTGGCTTCCAACTACCTAGGCCCATGGAATTCTTCCTTTTTTCATTGATTCTGGTTGTGTTTTTTTTCACCCTAGCTGGAAACCTCATGATTATCACTCTGGTATGCATGGACCAACGCTTGCAAACCCCCATGTATTTCTTCCTTTGTAACCTTTCCTTTTTGGAGATATTTTTTGTTCTGACAATCACACCAAAGATGATGATAGATCTAGTTTCTCAGAACAAATCTATCTCTTTCTTGGGCTGCATCAGTCAGTGCTATTCTTATTTCTTCCTTGGTACCTGTGAAATCATCCTGATTGCCATAATGGCCTTTGACCGCTACATTGCCATCTGTCATCCGTTGCGCTACACGATCATCATGAATGGACGGGTTTGTGTGAATTGGATATTGGTGTGCTGGATTGGTGCTTTCATGAATAATTTTGGCCCCATTGTTCTCCTGAGCCAACTGTCCTTCTGCAGCTCTAACGTTATTGATCATTTCTTCTGTGACTATGCTCCACTGATAAAGCTTTCTTGCAATGATGTAGATACTCTCCTGACTCTGGAATCTACCCTCTCTCCTCTGGTGTTACTCAGCTCTTTGTGTGTAACTGTTGTCTCTTACCTCTACATAATTGTGACTGTCTTCAACATGCATATCAGTGGCAGCCGTGGGAAGACTTTTTCAACCTGTGCCTCTCATCTAACAGTTGCTTCCATCTTCTATGGCAGTGCCATCTTCATGTACTCTTTGCCCAGCAAGGGTCGTTCTCTGGATGTCCAGAAAGCTGTGGCAGTTCTAACTGCTGTGGTCACCCCATTACTGAACCCTTTTATTTACACTTTACGGAATGAGAAGGTCAAGGATGCTTTCCGAGACTGTTTGCAAAGACTGTTTGAATTTTGTGAGAAGAAACCAGTGATAACACTTAGCCAACCTTGGATGATCTCAAACAAATCAACTTAGAGTTGGAGCTTGTTGATACATGGATAAGAGAACTATCACCTACTGCTGTAGTCTAGACTGGGATCTCAAAAATACATTCCAGAAGAGCACAATGAAAAAGGGACTTCTGTGCTGCTACTAGGAGAACAGCATGGGTATGGCCACAGTTACATCAGAGTTAAATTTTGTGAAAGGTGGTTTTTATATTATGATGGATTGTTCAGGACTTGGAAACAATCTGTGTACATTTTGATGCTTTGAAATTGTTGCATTTCTATTTCTAGTTGTNTTGAATGAAGACTAGCACTGAAATTCTCCTCTATTGGGACTAGAATTCTTGCTTGGCTGTTCCTTAGATCTCAGCACTCTTGGTTGATCTTTCACTCTTCTTGGCTTTTAATTTCTAAGTTACTATTAGAGGAATGTAACTGGTGATGTAGTTTCAAATATATGTGTAAGTATGCAAGGAACAGAATTATTTTCACCCACGTAATGTGAAACTGTCACATCATCCTTTTGAAAAAAAATCATTTTGGGTTGCAGTATCAATACTATTTAAGAAAAAAAAACAGCTGACATAAATTGATTTGTTTCCTAATTATAATTTAAGTCTTATATGAGAAATATTTGCAAATCAGGAACAGAACAGAAATGATATAAACAAATAATGATGTATATTTAGAGGTATGCAACTATGGAAGCTGGGAGGAAATAAGTAAGGTGTTGTGTCTGGATACAGATCAATGACTTTTGAGTCATCATAGCATGGTTCTAGTGGAGAAAAGGTGACGTATTTCCTACATATTTTGTGACATTCCAGATGGATTATACACTACCCATGATTCAACAGATCACTTCTTTTCATTATTTCTCCAATCATGTCCCCCCTCCCTAAAACAGGAATGTCTCAATGCTTCGTGTGACAGCTATTCTGCCACTATTTCCTAGCTTTATAAGAAAAGTACCTATCAGCCACATAGTCAGATGAACAGAACAGAACAGAACAGAACAGAACAGAACAGAACAGAACAGAACAGAACAGAACAGAATAGAATAGAATAGAATAGCTTTGTTGGCCAAGTTTTATCGGACACACAAGGAATTTGTCTCTGATGCATAAACTCTCAATGTACATACAAATAACAAAGTAATCTAATCATAAGACACCCATAAGAGAATGTGATAGAAAAGATAAGCTATATCCTTAGACATAAGTCAATAAGACATAAGACAGTATTGTGGGAATTACGTGTTTTAGCAGAAGCACCTAATTCCCACAATAACTCCCCCACAGAAAGAAATGGGAGGGTGAGATTGGGAATCATGAATGGTCAAGAGGAAGAGTTGCATTCAACTAGGAAATTAATTTGGTGTGATTTTTAAATACAGCCTAATTATTTAAAACTTTTACATAGTCACCCACCTTATAACCAACTTTCAATCCAATCCAATCCAACCTAACCCAATACCATTTTAATCCAATCCAATCCCACCCTGACTTTGCTAACACATTTGCACTGTGTGCTTCAAAAAGTAACAAAGCCTGTATCATAGTTACATATCACAGAGGTTGGGTTCACAGAGGTTAAGTCAAAAGCAAACCACAACAAAACTTGGTATGTTGTATGACAGAGAACAAAACAAAGCACAAAGTATGAGGAACATGAGCACAATGATTTTCTCTGTCTTTGGGTTTGACATCAATAAAGGAATCAGATACAGAATACTTGAGGGGTCCTTGGTGCTCTCTGAGCTTGTTCATTTTCTTGCAGACATTTCATTACCCAAACTAGGTAACCTGCTCAGTTACCTAGTAATACCTGGGGTATTGTTTACTTGATTATTGGTCGGATGTTAACATTGGAGTTAATCTATGCTGATCTGGTTGCCGGTTGCTGGTGGAGAGGTGCTTGTTAATGTCTTTTCAATAGACACATAGACATTAACAACATCTATAGACTATGCAAAAGGGACTATCACCCAGATCAAAAAGATGCAAAAAGACCCAAGCACTTCTCCATCAGCAATCAGCACCCAGAAAAGCATAGATGAACTCCCAGATTAAAATCAGACCAACAGTCAAGTAAACAATACCCCAATCAAGAAACTGCCAATGAAGCCAATAGCAAACAGCCTAATCAAAGAATCTCTAAGACCATTCCCACCAACACAGATAGGCAAGCCACTAGCAAGAGAAAGAGCAATTAGACTTATATACCGCTTCACAATGCTTTACAGCCTTCTCTAAGCAGTTTACAGAGTCACCATCTTGCCCCCAACAATCTGGGTCCTCATTTTACCAACCTTGGAAGGATGGAAGACTGAGTCAACCTTGATCCGGTGAGACTCGAACTGCCAAATTGCTGGCAGCTAGCAGTCAGCAGAAGTAGCTGCAGTACTGCATTATAACCACTGCACCACCTTGGCTCTATAATATAGAGTAGAACAGGGGTGTTCAAACGTGGCCCTTTTATGACGTGGACTTTAACTCCCAGAATTCCTCAGCCAAGCATGCTGGCTGAGGAATTCTGGGACTTGAAGTCCAAAAGTCATAAAAGGGCCAAGTTTGAAGACCCCCTGGAGTAGAATTTACATTAGAACAGGGGTCCTCAACCGAGGCAACTTTAAGACTTGTGGACTTCAACTCCCAGAATTCCTCAGCCAGCAAAGTTAGACTAGAATATAAACTGACAGCAAACCCCACTCCTTACTAGCACTGATGATGTTACCTAGTTTGGGTAATGAAACATCTGCAAGGAAACAAGCAAGCTCAGAGAGCACCAAGGATCCCTCATGTCAACCCTGAGCAGCAAATATTCTCCTTTATTAGTAACAGAATACTTGATACAGATTCCTTGCAATGCATTTCTTTGCTCCTGAGGGATCTTCATGAGCAAGACTTGAATCCCTCTTATATTACATGCTTCAGAACAGTATAACTAGTTCCATTGCCTATGAGAGGTTGCTTCTGTGTTCATTGCCATAACATGTTATTGAAGACAAAGACAGAGACATTGAAGAGGTACATCCATGAGCCACGAAGACGAGGCATCTTCTCAAAAGCCCTGAGAATGGAGAATGTTATGCTTCCCAAGCACTGAATTAAGAGGTAATATTTTAACAGATGCTTTTTCTTTGCTTGATATGTAGGCATAATGAAACACAGTTTAACCATCTACAAAATGGCTTCTACCAGCAGAAATTAAAATGAGACAATAGCATAACATCATAACAATGATATGAATACTTTTATATGTAGATTGCAAGGGGTGAAAATGTTAGGCATCAAAAATAAGGGAATCAAATTTGGTAGTTCCTTTTTTTTCCAATACTTTTTTCAGTATTGGAGTACCACAACTTCTGGAGGCAAGTTGTTCCACTGATTAATTTTTTTCACTGTCAAGAAATTTCTCCTTAATTCTAGGTTACTTCTCTCTTTGTTCAGTTTGCATCCATTGTTTCTTGTCTTGCCTTCTGGTGTTTTGGAGAATAGCTTGACCCCCCACTTGTTTGTGGCAGCCCCTTAAATATTGGAACACTGCTATCATGTCATCCCTAGTCCTTCTTTTCATTAGACTAGATGTACCCAGTTCCTGTATGTATTTTAAGCTTCAGCCCTCAAATCATCTTTATCTGTTCACATTGATTATGTTAACATTCCTCAGTTCCCATTGATTTTAGGTAAAAAATATTGAAAGAGAATTTGAACCCATCTCAGAAGAACAGTCTGGAGAACATTGAGCAAAGGTGAGATAACCAAAATATCATCGTCCAGAAACAGATCTTTGCATGTCCACAAGGATGAATTGTTTTTGAAAGGCTGAAACACGGAGGGATCCCTGGTAGCTCCACTTGGATTAACCACACTCAGAAGTAGACCACAGTGAAGAATTGCCCTGTTTGGAATAATATATCAGAAGAATCATGGTCTGATTCAAAGCATCAGGTTTTTAACTTCTCTTTGATTTTTAATGCAAAGAATGGAAACTGATAAGCTGATGCCCATTTGAAACATGCAATTAAAAGAAGAATGGGGATCTGGAAATTAATATCTTCACTCTGTTTTTAGGAATGAACTAATGGCAAATAGGACCACAATAAAGAAATTCATACTGTTGGGGCTGAATGCCAACCCTCCACTTGAAGTTAGCCTTTTTCTCCTCCTGCTTGTGATTTATCTTTTGACATTAATAGGAAACACACTGATTGTTATTATCACACTGGTGAATGTTCAACTCTGTAGCCCAATGTATTTCTTCCTCCGACATTTGGCATGGGTAGATATTGGGTATATGAGTACTATAGTTCCCAAAGCACTGGTCAACATAGCTACTGGTACTAAGAGCATCTCTTTAGTTGGTTGCTTCATACAGGTATTTCTTTATTTGGTCCTTGGCACCACTGCGTTCTTCCTACTGGCCACAATGTCTGTTGATCGCTACATAGCCATCTGTAACCCTCTTCACTACACAACCATCATGAATCCCCGAATCTGCTCATTATTAGTATTTTGTTGTTTGGTTGGGGGGTTATCACTAATTCTAGTTATATTCATTCCTTTATTTCTTATGCCATTTTGTGGTCCTAACGTCATGAATCATTTTTTTTGTGACTATGGACCCCTAATGAAGCTGGTATGTGTTGACACCAGCTTCCTAGAAATGACTTATTTTGTAGTTGCCATATTCTCTCTGCTTGGGACCTTAAGTGTCAACATTGTGTCTTATGTCCAAATCATTTCCACCATTCTGCATATTCCATCAGCTACTGGAAGGAAGAAGACCTTCTCCACTTTTGCTTCTCACATGACCGTGGTCACTATCGCTTACAGCAGTTGTATTTTCATGTATATCAAGCCAAAAGGCACCATCAGATTGGACTACAACAAAATAGTGGCTCTTCTGAATACTGTTATCGTTCCTTTTCTCACCCCAATTGCATACTCTTTGAGGAACAGACAAGTGCAGGATGCTTTGAAGGCTGAACTGAGACAAAGGATTGGTTTTGCAAAAAACTGAGATGATTGGCTATTGCTAGGGCTCCGAAGTAGATGTTCAGATTTAATGTCTTCGAATGGATTGTGCTGCCTTCAGATGTAATAATCACCCATTGAGATGGTCTTACAAGGGGATTTGAGAAAGCATAGAGAAGTGGTTGGAAGAAATTTTGCAAATAGATATAGAAGCCAAACCAGAATTTTTCTTATTGGGAATTATGGGAAAAAAAATATAAGAAAGACATAAATTATTTACTACTGCATATAGTAACAGCAGCACGAATAGCCTTTGCTCAAAAATGGAAAGAGAAAGATACTCCAACCCAAGAGGAAATATTATTGAAAATTTTCAATTGCGCTATAATGGATAGACTTACATGGGAACTCAAGGACAAATGTGAAACCAAGTACTATAAAATCTGGGAACAATTTTATGATTGTATAGACAATAAGAGGGTAACCAAGATAAATGTATAGTGCTAGAATAAAATATAGATTGTAGACAAATGTATATTTAAAAGATAAATAGACATATAGAAATAAGGGGGAAAGTGTTAATAGTATATTATAAATAGTGAGCAAAGTTCAAGAACTATATGTCTATATGAGTACTAATACTATTGTAAAATGTTGGAAAATGTATGGAACCAGTGACGTCATATCTATGTCCAATGTGTTTTTAATTTTGTATTATTAATAAAATTTAAAAAAAAAGAATGGAAATATCTGGTTGACATCAAAGGCCGAGTCCCTGAAAGAATTGGTTTGCTAGTGAAGAACAATGGAAAAAGACAATTGCCCATCTCTCCTGGTTGTCCATTTACAAAACACATCTGGTTGCACATTATGTGACCTAGGAGACATGAGAGCTTCACCTAATGCATCCTCAAAGCTCTTATCATCTTCAGAAGCAGAACATACAGCCACCATCTCCTAATTGTTTCTCGGGTTCAAGTATGTTTTATTAGTTGGCACTCTGTATGGATCATATGCAATACAGTACAGTACAATAAGATATCTGGTTTTGGTTTACTTATGGAGTCAATATTGGCGAATGTAGCTATCCCTCTTGATGTTTATCACAGGTTAGAATATCTGAACCGGGGAATGGAGCTCAGTGATTATAGAATATCAGCAAGCAATGCTCCCATTGATAAAGCTGAATGTAACAGAGAATGCATAGTGAAGGCATGAAACATGAGATCTAGAGCTAGAGAATGTTGCCAATATAGAAATTAATGGTTGTAAGGTGCCCATAGTCACCTTAATGTGAGGTGGGCAGTAAATTTGGTTTAATAAATAAAATGAATAAAACAAGTTTCTAATTAAGCGGTTTTGTTGGTTAATTCAAACCAAACTACAAGACTAAGGACTTTTTAAATTATAGCATCTTATTTCTCAAGACCTATCAAGAATTCATGCAAAGTTGCTTTGGGATATTGGAGAAAGATGGTAGGCAAGATCTCCCTTCCTTTATCTTGCTCACTATGACTCATAGTTCTCATTTATAAACATTTTTTGGTATCCAAATATCTAGCAAAGATTGAAAGCAGAGGAAAGTTCTTGAATGTTTCAGAATGCAAGCAAAACTACAGTTAAATAAAAGAAATATGAGTCCAGATCGGAAATGGACATCGATGTCCAAGTCTGATCATTTTCTGTGATGCTCTGGAATCTTCCCTCAAATACTTTCTGTCTGAATCCACTGTCCCACTGGGAGGCTCAGTTTTATTACCAATGGCCAATGGAATTAGACACAGCCAAGTCCATTTGATTCCCATCGTTTTCAATGAGTTTTGTAAATGTGTGCTTGAAATACTTGAAATTGATTGAGAGAGAACTGATTTGAGTTATTAGATCTGAATTGAATGGCTAATCAAATAAATCCTCAACTGAAGTGAAGACAGATTTGTACATCCCTTGGAACATGCATGTGCTGGACCAGTATGTAACCATCTGGCCAGAGCATACATAAGTAGCGTTTTAAGGGTTAAAAGCCATCTCCTTAAGACATGGACTTCTGGAAAATGTAGTTTTAGTTGTTCCGCCGCGCCCTAAAGACATGGCTTTTCCAACAAGCGGGATTGGCCTAGGGAATTTTAGTGGGGTTTTTAAGGGAAATTTTAATTATTAGGCCACTGCAAATATTTTCTTTTAATCTGGTTTTAATGTATTTATTGTAATATTGGTTTTATAAGGCTGTCAGCCGCCCTGAGTCCGGTAAGGAGAAGGGCGGGATATAAATCAAATAAATAAATAAATAATAAAATAAATGGTTATATATGTGTTCTAATTGGTCAGTTCTATGTCTTAACTAGCCATTGGGAGGGACTTCAATGTTTATGACAGGATTTCCTGGCTACATGCCAGTATGAAATGTTTTGTGTAGTACAGCCACAAAGTCCTTCGCTCCATACGAACATGGGGTGAAGTTACCTTTAATTTTTTACACCACAAGAATTGACAGATTGTGATACTTGCCTCAGAAGAACTCTTCATTAACTGTAAGTTATTGTTTACTTTAGAGATTCCTGAAGAATAAATAAACTGAATATTATTCCGTCTTTGGAGTTAATCTGTCTGTGTCAAGCAGGAATAAAGCAAATCTCCTGTTTGGAACAGAACAATGTACACAATGGTCTTCTCTGTCTTTGGTTTTGACATCAACTATAGAGGGAGATACAGAATACTTGATACAGATTCCTTGCAATGCATTTCTTTGCACTGAGAGGTCCCTGAGGGATCTTCACAAGTCAGTCTTGAATTCTTCTTATACCACATGCTTCAGAACTGTAACTAGCTCTATTGTATATAAGAGGTTGTTTCTGTGTTCATTGCTATGGGAAGATATTAAAGATGATGGCTGAGATATTGCAGGGGTACATCCATGAGCGAAGAAGACAAGGCTTCTTTTCAAAAGCCCTGCGAATGGCGAATGCTATGCTTCCCAAACATTGAATTAAGGGGTAATGCTTTTGCTTTGATTTGTAGGCATAACGAAACATAGATTAACCAACTAGAAAATGGCTTTTATGTAGATTGCAAGGAGCAAAAAATAGTTTGCATGCTAAAAAATAACTTAGGAAGCAAAATTTGATAGCTAGCTGCTTCAAAACAGTAACTAGCTCTATTGTTTATGAGAGGTTGCCTCCATCTTCATTGTCATGAAAAAGTATAGCAGAAGAAGGGGTTACATATGTAGAAGACAAGAGGTCTCCTCCAAGTACTAAGAATGGGAAATGCCATGCTTCTCAACAAACTGAATTAAAGGGGTAATATTTTAACAGATGGTTTTGCTTTGCCTCTGATTTGAAAGCAAAACGGACATAGTTTAACAATCTAGAGAAGTAAATGCCATTTTCTATATTATTAAACTGTGGCGATTTTGCTTACAGAACTAAGCAAAATAAGCAAAGCATAAATAAGATGACAAAATGGCATAAGGATCTCAAAAATTATGTGAATGCTACAATGATTGATATGATTCCCAGTGGTGAAAATATTATGACAAACCAAAAATATATTAGCAAGTAAACGTTGGGTGTTTTTGCTTTGCTTCTGATTTGTAACCATATTAAAAAATACCTTGATAATCTAGAATATTGATTTTATCATCATGTATGTAGTTTGCAAGGGTTGAGTGTTTTTGCATTTTTTTAATGTTTGTAAATCTCAAGAGTGGTGAGCTAAAATATTACTTTGTAAAACTAAGAAATGGATTTCTGAGTTCCAAAGGAGAATATTAAGTTAGTTAATTTCTGATTTGTAATGTTTGGAAGCAAATGTAAATTATATCTAAGTTCAATATTTACATGGGCATATGCTAGATAACTAGTGAAACCTACTGCAAATGCCTTTATTGTTCTTAAATTAAGCTACAGTTGGTGAAAGTTTCACATTATACTATTCATAAACTATGGTTTGCAAACTATAAATGCCTACTTCATGCTACATATAAACCACACAACGACTAGGCACAATGCCACTTGTTATTTCTAGCTTAATGAAAAGAAGGACTAGGGGTGATATGATAGCAGTGTTCCAATATCTAAGGTGCTGCTTGAAAGGAGAGAGGGTCAAGCTATTCTCCAAAGCATCTGAAGGCAGGAGGAGAAGCAATGGATGGAAACTAATCAAGGAGAGAAGCAACCTTGAACTAAGGAGAAATTTCCTAACAGCAATTAATCAGTAGACCAGCTTGCCTCCAGAAGTTGTGGTGCTTCAACACTGCAGATTTTTAAAAAGAGATTGGACAATCATTTGTCTGAAATGGTACTATATAGGGTTTTCTGTTTGAACAGGGGGTTGGTCCCTTCCAAGTCTGTTATTCTGTTATTTAGAATGATCATTATTATTTTTCTTACAAAACATTTTTGCTAGATTTCTTTAATGAACTTACATTCTGGGGGTGAAAAGATCAGAATGATATTCTTATTTATTTCCAGGGACAATTCAGAAATGGAGATTTTGATCATAAAATGTTGAGGAAGCTTGAATGTCTAGCTTATCTCTTTTATTCAACCCTATACTGGAAGAAAAAATTACGAAAGTCTAGGTTTAGAAACTGGGTAGTGGTGGGATTCAAATATGTGAACAACCGGTTTTCTGTGTGGATGCCGCTTCCAGAAGTCCATTCTGGGCCTGGGCAACAAAACAATTAGCTACCGATTCTGCCAAACTGGTGCGAACCGGCTGAATCCCACCACTGAAACTGGGCCAGGATTGTTGTCTTCTTGGTGTCTTTTTCACAACTTCCCCAATTATAATTAAGTTTGGCTTCCTGGATTGTGCCACAAAGGGTGTATGGCTGAAACCTTGTTGAGTTGACCCAATTCTGCAAGGAAAGACTATCTACAGAAGCAACTTGTGCAGAAATGCTCTTCTGAAACAAAATTTTCTCCTGAATTACAGCACTTACAGGTCTTAAGAAATAAATGACAATTAAATCAATTTCTTCCCAGGACAGTTTGCTTTCATGCTATCTACTTGGAAGCATCTAAAACTGATGCTGGCCAAAGGAGAAGTGACAACTATTGTCAGTGTATTTAGAAAACTTTTATGAATGAAAAAAAACATTGTTCTCCTCCTTATCCATTCAAAAGGTGATCCATGTAAGTGTTTGCGTTTTTTAAGCAAGATAGGGTGATGACTCCCCCAGCTGCTTTCCCAGTTATCTCTCCAGATGTCAGCTGGGAGGAAGATGAACCATTTCCAGGCACATCTGGAGGGGAGTTAATGGTTCCAAGCAGCCGTCTGAGAGGGAGATGGCTCAAACACAGCTGCAGCAGGACAGTCTTGAGGCTTCAGGTGGGGAAAGCATGTAGCTGCAGCCGGTCAGTGATGCGGAAGAGGAACTGCCTGCTGCACCTGATCCAAGAACACATAGGGCAGAGAAAAGGCAGGAGCAGAGAAGGTCAGCCAGATTACTTGCGAGGAGAAAGCCTTACCCTTCTTGATTGGCTGAACCAGAAGCTGGTCATTTAGCACAGCAGACAGATGGAGGTAATGCTGGGAACAATGTGTTCATTTCTTAGCTGTGTGTTTTCCAGTCATTGCAATTTTTGCCTTGCTTTAGGACAGTGGTGGCGAACCTATGGCACGGGTGCCAGAGGCGGCACTCAGAGCCCTCTCTGTGGGCACGCGCGCTGTCGCCCCAGTCCTAGGCCTTCAGCTGGGTTTTATAAAACCTTTTCGCTTTAGGCCTCCGCCGCCGTGTGCAAAAAAAAAAAGGTTCAATCAGTCAATTTCAACTTCTCGCGGGAAAAAAAAAAGATCTTGCAAAGTTGGAATTGATTGATTGAACTTTTTAGTCCCACCCAGTCTGCCGTTACCACCGTGGCCACACCCAGACAATGGGCCACACCCAGTCAATGGCCACACCCACCCGGCACTCGACCATGCATAAGTGGATTTTGGGTTGCAGTTTGGGCACTCGGTCTCTAAAAGGTTCGCCATCACTGCTTTAGGATGATACCGTGCCTTGATTTGGACTGTGCCTTGTGAACTTTGAACTTTTCTTGCCTCATGACTCCTCTTGTATTATGGATTTAATTTTGACTGGTGGGTTTATTTTGATTGGTAAGTCTTCAAATGCCTTGTGGACTCATTGACCATTGCTCTATGAACCAGCATTGGTCTGATTGTGGTTGGACTTAATTGGGACAGTTCTGGGTTTTTGTGAAGGGCGTTGCGGGGGAATATTAATAAACCCACTAAACCGCAGTTATGTGTGTGAGAGTGTGTGTGAGTAGGACAGCACAGTTACAAACTAATCTAGTCAGAAGAGGGTGAGTGTGAGGAATTGTAAGTTATTTTCCATCAAGGTTAGTAGTCATTCAGAGTAAGCCTTTGATCCATCTCCAGTCTTGGACACTGGAATAATAATAATAATAATAATAATAATAATAATAATAATAATAATAATAATAATAATAATAATAATAATAATAATAATAATAATAATAATAATAATAAAGTTGGAAGGGACCTTGGAGGTCATCTAGTCCAACCCCCTGCTCAGGCAGGAAACCCTATACCATTTCAGACAAATGGCTGTCCAGTCTCTTCTTAAAAAC